CTGATTGCTGGCACATTGGTAGGCTTTTCGGTTATAAGCCAGATCTTTAAAAGGTACTCTCTAACAGCTTCGTGTTGATGGGGTAATGTTTGAATCAAGGAGTTTCTCCTTCCTTAAGAGTAAAAGAAAGTTTTCATGATTAGTGACGTTTGGCTTGTAGTCTGGGAGGTCTTTGGAAACTTGAACTTTAGTTACTCACCATTGTGGCTGAGTGGCAGGGCAGGCACGGTGGAGGTTCAAGTTCCCAGCATTTCAAATGCATTAACACAGTCCAGCCTTTGGCAACCTGCCACTCTCTCTGCTTGGTAGACAGGTCCATGAAACTTGACACTCTCATGTCTTTCCTTGAAATCTCCCAGGGTTCAGCAATCCTTCAATGACTGACCCATTTCTGTTAAATTCCTGTTGTCAGACACGAGCGAGCGTGAAGCTGTCCTGGACCTATTGTCAGAGAACGCATTTCAGTGACTTAAAAACAAAAAAACGTAAAACTACCAACCTAGTCTTTGACAATTCATGCTTTGGATGCAGAAATGGGGCACTGCATTGGGGCACTTATTATTACACTGCCACCAGAACTGCTCTTAAAATGTGGACAAACTTCCCCAAGTGTTTGTTGTATCAACAGAGCACAGTGAAGTAGGATTAGGACAATTATTCCTTTAGTTGACTCATGTAAACAGAGTCTTAAGAGTGTCTACCAAAAATATAGTGAGCCCTTCTTAGTCAGGTAGAAGGAATGGTTTGTGAGCGTAGCTGAGATCTTACCGTATTTTGCTTTTAGCTGGTCTGCTTTGGTATTTACCTCCATGCTTCAAGTCTTTGGGGCCCGTCCTTGATAAATAAGTATGCTAGCAAAAAGCATTATAATGTTGGTTGTTGCAGTATTTCCTACTTGGAAACACACTGGCCTTGGGAGGCAGAGCCCAGATTCTAGCATTTACTAATTATGTGCTTCAGTTTAAGTTACTCAAATTCTAAGTCTGTACAGTGGGAATAACAAATGACACACCTTTTTACTCATAGTGTGTACCAAGTGAGAAAATGAATTAGAAAGTAGTCCCGTAACATACAATGCTCTGCTGTGGAACTCCCATTCTTGCCATGGATGGGCATAGTTTCAGGGACAGACTCTCCCTGTTAGAGGACAGTTATTGAGACTGTCCCCCTCTGTGGCCTTTGCAATTAAGAGCCACTGCCCCCTCACCCACCCCAGAGGTAACCTGGACTACAGCGGGGCGACTCTGTCAGTTACAAAGTTCTTTCTGTATTAAACTGAAATTTATCCCTGTAACTTCCAAGGTAATTTTCCCTCCTTGGTTCTAGTGCTGCAGAGTATAGCATGAAACAGTTCAAATCAAGTCTTAGAAATTTGTAACTGAGAAAGAGGTCTTACAACTCTGCTTCCTGTTTTTGGCAATTCAATTCAATAAATAAGCGCTGGTGAGTATCACGTGGGGTGGGCGCTGTGCTCGGGCACTAAAGGCAGCTATTGTTTCTTCTCCTCATCTCCGGAAGTGGAACCGAAGGGCATGCAACCCAAATGGAGATGAATGGAAAGTAAAAACTTTTTAACCCTTTAATGTGCTAAAACACGGTGGTTTTCATTTTATTTAGAATTCAGGCTGGAATAAAATGCTTGCCTGCATTTATTGGGCTGTAAATAATTGAAATGGCCAAGCAGACTAATACACAAAAATGAAGATGAAAGAATGGTGAATAAAGACCAATATTTCCAATTTTTATATGAACCTGTGTGTTTAACAACCAGTAAGCGGAAAAACATAATAGTCCGTGAGAAAATGGAACACTGGTGACATGGCAGCATGAGAATACCTTTGTGTGTGCTAGACTTGACGTTCTTATTGTTGCCGCAGCCCCATGGAGGACCCTAAAGTGTCTTCACAGTGATTAAGGGCACCACACACTCGCTGTGTTGAGTTACGGACTTGATTTATAGACTCCGAGACAAAAGTGAACGAATGTAAAAGCAGCATTGGCCTTAGCATCAGAGGCCCGGGGTTCTGTTCTTGACTCTTGTTACTGACTAGAGCGTTTCTTTGAGGAAGGTCAGTCCTTACTGCTCAGAATTTCAGTTTCTCTCACGTTTAAAATAAGGCTAAAATTTTCTCTCCTGCCTGCATTCTATAGTTGTTATAATTAAATGCGGCAGTATTTAGTTTGAATTGGTTTGAATCTTGACACCACTTTTTGCAAGCCATGTAACTTTTGAGAGGTTCTTTAAACTTCTCTGTGCTGTTTTTTTTTCATTTTTAAAATGGGATAATACTAGTACCTACTTCAGGGTTTCTGTGAGAAGTTAAATAAGTTAATTCCCAAAAAGTACATAGAACAGTGCCTGACAATTAATGCCTAATACATTAACTATTTTTTTGTGAAATTTTGAGAGTTCTGTGACTTAGTATATTTTTAGTATGATGTGTTTTTTTGAAATAGCATATTTAAATAAAAATAAAAATCATACCCAACAGGTTGATAAACATACCAACCAAATCCAGAACAGAATTGGCATGTTTTATCTTTCTGTGCACTCTGGTAGTTTCACAAGGTATGACTTTTTTGTCAAAAAAAGTTTAATACTGAGAAATTACTCCTAAATGCTTTTTTCTTCAGAGCTTTGGGTCAAATTTATTTATTCTAGGAAATGCTTTCTACTATCAGAGTGGGTTTGGAGAGCTTTAGGTGGGGACCAGGGCCCAACCTTGTCTTGTCTGATGTTTTTACAGTTCTGAGATCTGTCTTAACTGTCCAGAGCTTTGCTTGTGTTGTGTGTAAAAAAGGAGATTTTAAAAAATGTTATCTTTGATTTCGAACAGTGCTAAGATTCAAGTGACTCATTTAGCTTTTAGAAATCATGAAATGTTGGTCAAAAACTCTATTTATAACAGACCCATTCATGATAATCCTAGTAGCTTGTTTCACAGAACACATTTCCAGATAAAAGTACTGATCATGACTTCCCTTAAAGGGGTGAAATAAAATTGTGGGAAAGGCTTAGAATTTGGTGAGTAATTTACAAAAAACCATTTAAAAAAATTATAGCTTCCATAGCTATTATAACAAAGGAGCTTATGAGTTCAAAATTCTTTGGTGTATTTATCTTTTTATAAAGTGAAACCAAATGACTATTATCCAGTATCCTCAAGTTTATTGCAAAACTGATTTTTTGGATCGAGGCACCTTTGAGTTACCTACTGGCTTTTCAATCTCAGGTACAATTGGATTAACACTGTTGCTGCTGCTGTTAAGTTATTTATCTATCTGAATGGAAGTGTGGATACTCATAGCTTCCTATTCCAGATTTTCGTTGTCAGCCCCTGGCTATATTTGGACATTCTTGTTTTCCTGTTTATCAGCAGAATCAAGGCTGTTGAATGTTTTCTGTTTGATCTACCTTATGTGGAATTAAACATATTTCTTCACTCCTAATTGTATTTTTAATGTTTCTTGAACTCAAAACCCTTTTTTCTAAATATTTACACAGTATTACATTATAGTCCCAAATAGCATGACTAGCTTAATCATTTGTTTTTATTTATTTATTTTTTGAGATAGAGTCTCACTCTGTTGCCTGGGCTACAGTGCCGTTGGTCAGCCTAGCTCACAGCAACCTCAAACTCCTGGGCTCAAGCGATCCTTCTGCCTCAGCCTCCTGAGTAGCTGGGACTACAGGCATGCACCACCATGCCTGGCTGATTTTTTTCTATATATTTTTAGTTGTCTGGCTAATTTTTTCTATTTTTAGTAGAGACTTGGTTGCTCTTGCTCAGGGCTCAGGCTGCTCTTGAACTCCTGACCTCGAGCGATCCTCCCGCTGCGGCCTCCCAGAGTGCTAGGATTATAGGCGTGAGCCACTGTGCCAGGCAGGTCGTAAAAATGATAGTTTAATCATTTCTAAATAAAGAAATTACTTTTAAATATGCAAAAAGAAAACTCGGGAAGTTATCTGCTAGCCAATTTCTTTGACAGAGTTTTGCATTGTAAGGCATGTCCGGGGAGGTGATAATGGGCTTTGTGGAGTAGAAGGGGATGCTTTTAAGAGCAAGACCATGTGGTGGGAGTGCGAGGGAAGGGCATGATTCAGAAACTCTGTATATGTGAGATATTGAGGAAGATTGTCTACTTCTTTTAACATCAGTTTCCTCATATGTTAATGGACATACTTGTCTGGCAAGGTTGTAATATGATGCCTAAAACAATCCCAGGTGCATAATAGATTTCCAACAAGTGGTAAGTGTGGTAATTAGAAATTTGTTCCATTTATGCTTCGCATTGTAAAGCAATGTTGAAAAGATATTTTGGGATTCTCTGTCTTGTGACTGTATTAATAGGGTTATAATTTTCTGATGTTTACCTAAAGACTTTGAGACCACCAGAAGGAATACTTGATTTCTGAATAAACTAATCATTAAATGAATTTGTCTCAGTTTTTCTCTTTACCGTGTTAGAGTTTTGATGGCCACTTTTCTATTTCCCTCGTCTATGACATCTTTGTGAATTTAGCTTAAAAAAAACTTAACAGAGTAACTGAAAAACATATAAAGTGCTGCCAGGATAATTTCCTCATTTGCAATCTTATATTTCATTCCTTAATTTGTTTCTCGATTGTTTGGGCCTTTTATAGTTGTTCATAAAGTGCCCTCAAGGACACAAGTTGTATTTTCAAGTTGGTCCCTTTGTGAGGGGAAAGGAAAGGATATAATTAGGTGCATGTTCGTGGGCTGCACATTCCCCACTGGCCTCTTTTGTTTTTTTCTGGTTCATCTGTGGTTTGGACCTTACATCCCCACATCAGTGTTCCTGGGTCAGAGGGGCTGTGTTCTAATGCAGGTTGAACTGTGTGCAGCCTTGAGACCAATATTTGAAATATCACAGTTTAATGAGATAAAGATTGCACGGTGAGTCATCTGTGTGTGTGTGTATGTGTGTGTGTGTGTGTGTGTTTAAAATCTAACTCTTTGTTCAATTTGTTTCTCCAGGTGGCACTTTTCAGAAGTTATTCACTGAGTCTTCCCAGCATTCCTGCAAATATAAATAGGTAAGTAAATGAGATCACTGTTGTTGGTGATTGTTGGGAATCACTTTCCAGGTGGGTGGCAACTTCTTGAAAAAGATGCAGGATTTCAAACTTTTGGAACCCTGCACAGTAAGCATTAATTTTTTTTCATCCAGAAACACCATTGGATGAGCATACATAAATGTTGCAAAGCAGCGGTCCCCAGCCTTTTTGGTACCAGGGACTGGTTTCATGGAAGACAATTTTTCCACAGAGTTGGGGGGTTGGGGTGGAGGAATGGTTTCGGGATGATTCAAGCTCATTACATTTATTGTGTGGTCAAACCACCTTGCCAATGATAATCTGTATTTGCAGGTGCTCCCCTGTGCTAGCATCACCACCTCAGCTCCACCTCAGATCATCAGGCATTAGATTCTCATAAGGAGCGCACAACCTGGATCCCCCGCATGTGCAGCCTGCAGTAGGGTTCAAGCTCCTGTGAGACTCCAATGCTGCTGCTGATCTGACAGGAGGCAGAACTTATGCGGTGATGCCAGCAATGGGGAGCGGCTTTAAATACAGATGAAGTTTCGCTCACTCAGGGCCACTCACCTCCTGCTGTGAGGCCTGGTTCCTGGGCCTGGGGGTTGGGGACGGCAGTTGTAAAGGACCCTGTGAGGTTTCATAAATGGTAGTGAACTTAATGCTGTGATTTCCATGCTTCAATTCTGACATGCTCTGTCACCATTCATACACAAGTTTCAGACCTCTTTTTAATGAGCTGACTTTAAGTTGTCTTTCCTTTTGAGCTTCTCTGTTGTTATCATTTCTCTCAGATAGGGGAAGTAGAGACAACCAATCGAGATTACCCTGTTTTATTACTCAGTGCTAGCTCACTAGAAGGATTGCTGGAATACAAGTTGAAAACAGTCAACTAATAGGTGATTTATGATTAAATCTACAGATTTTAATTTTAAAAGGTCACTTTTGGAAAATACTAGTAATAATAATAATAGAGGTTGAGTAATCTCCTGCAATATTCATTTGAGAAAATGAAGGCAGTGGATAGTTAAATACTTGTCCCACAAGACCGTGATCCAGCTCTGCTTCTCTCGAGGGAGAGGCGTGTTTAACCAGGTTCCTCTCGGGGTCTTGGTGTAAGCTTAAGGGTTCAGCTGGGACCAAAGAAGCCAGTGTGAGGTATGGATTTGGGACCAGCTGACCTCCTACCCAGGAGGGTCTACCATGTGCAGGGGATTTACAGAGTATTTTCATAGACACCATCTCATTTATAGAAAGGTCATTTTTTTAGCTTACAGATTCTAGGAAAGGAAAAATTGTTCTTAGGAAGTGAACTACTAACTTTGCAAATGTTATTAAGTTTTTCTAACAACTACTTTCACTTAGGTTGGGAAGTTTGGGTCTATTTTTTTTTAAATGAGAACTGTAAATACTTTTGAGTTATGGAATTATTTGGGTACAGTTCCTTCTCGTGGGAAAGCCAGGGCTGACCTGATGCAGGTGGTGTCCCGAGCAGGCTAATCATTGATACCATATCAAATCTGTTCCATATTTATTTAATGGGTGTGGGTGGGAGAAACTAATTTCCTATTAATAAAGATTATTAATAAAAATACATGCCTTTTCCTGTCTGTTGAAATTAAGGGATTTATTACGTATGATTTTTCTGTGACCCAGGTGTTCATAAACCTGTTTAAAATTAGGCTAATAATAGTACTCTGCTATGTGTTGTGAAGATCCAGAATTTCAAATGCCTGTCAGCTGGGTGACATGGGGGTTGGTAGTGAGGCCGATTTTTGCTCTTATAGTTCTACAAATGCAGATATTCTCAACAGAGGCAGGCCTGCGCTGGTGGGGAGTGTGTTTATTTCTACTCCGAGGCACTGCCTGCCTGAGTGGGAACAGGAACAGTTGCCATGTTGCCCCTTATGTAAAACCCGAGTTAAGTGGCCTTGTATTTCCCAGTGATGGCTTAGTCCCCCATGGTGGGTTGTCACACTGGCTCACTGCCAGGGTGGCCTGTTTAATCTTGCCCTGGGGAAAAGCCAATTCTGTTCTGCCAATGCCTTCGGGAGCCAAATCGTGTTCTCCCTTGAAATCCCCCTCTCTGAAGATTTAACCCGATAAAACCAGCCTTCTCCATGTCTTTTTTGTTCTGTTTTTAAAGTTGTGAATTCATTCTATGCAAATCACAATAAAATTTTAATCGAGTCAGACATAAGAACAGACATTCTGAATTAATGGCATCTGAATTATAGAGAAATGTGCTATTAATCCTTTTGTTGTACACAGTCGCTCACATTATATCAAGTTGGAAGAAGGGTTCTCTTGAGCAAAGAGAGTGACTGCAGTCTAAGGAGAGCCTTGACGTCAGGTGGTCCTGGGCTGGGGTCCCATCTCTGCTGGACGGAGACCTGGGTTGGGGTCCCAGCTTGTGAGGCAAGTGGGCAGTGAGACCTAAGTCACATTTCTCTACCTCTTACACCTCCCATCTCTATACTTGTGGATAATCTGTTCCTCCCAGAGTGGTTTGGAAGATTGAGTGAGGTAAAGATGCAAATGTGTGTGGCGCATAGCGAACCACAGGTATCCCCTGCCTGGCTCCCCGACAGTGGGTCTGTGGGAAAGGGCACCATCTGAGGAACTGCTCCGCCGGGCTCTCACCGTGCCTCTGGGCACATCTCTTCCCTCCTGTGCCTCACTGACACAGTGGTAGAGTAATACCTGCTCTGTCTGTCTGCCTACTCCATGAGGATTGTGACAAGACTCTGAAAAGTGTGAATTTGGGGGTGTGGTTAGTATAAGGGGGTCTTCTATTGGGCAGGCTTTAAACAAAAATACTCTCTGGGCTTGAATTCCTGCACCACCCCTTGGTTTAATAGGTGTGTAACCTTTAGCAAGTTACCGACACCGGTTCTGGTTTTCACCTGTCTCACTGGATTGCTCTGAGCGTAAATGATACTCTGTATGAAGATTGGGGTGTGTGGAACTGTCACCTACTGATTCTCAATAAATATGCTTGTGAATTCACCAGGATGTAAGAAGGGAGGCAGAGAACTAGACTTGAAAAACTATCTACGGTTTTAAAATCCCTCGAGTTTGAACTTTGGCTTATTGAGCTGCCTTTTATATCATGTTATATTAGTTTGAACCAAGGAAGATAATCTCCTGAATAAACTGAGGTTGACCCTACAAGGTGAGACTGTCATAGGATGAGCACAGCATGGTCTTCTGGGGTTTCTTCATGAGTGAACTAGGGGAAGGGCTCTTCCCATTTAGGGGAATTCTTACTAGAACTGACTGAATGAGCAAAGTAAAAACACTACAACCGCACCATCCAATATGATAACCCTGCCCCATAAATAAGGCTACTGAGCACTTGAAATTTGGCTAGTGAGACTGAGACACAAAATTTCTTATTTTACTTAATTAATTTAAAACTTAGAATTGTTGGTCAATTCAGTTATTGGAAAACTTTTAAGTATATTTGGAAGAACTTGCATGTGAAAATCTACTTTTTCAACTATAAATTGTATAAAGTTTAAACTAGATCAGTCACTTCTGATTAAAGCTTTGTGCCTGAATTGAGATGTGTTGTAAGTACAAAATACATAGCAGATTTTGAAGTGTAAGTATTAGAAAAAAAAGAGTACAAATATTTCATTAATAATTTTTAGGCTGATTACATGTTGAAATGATGATGTTTTGCATATTTTGAGTTACATGAAATACATTATTAAAATTAGATTCCTTTTGCCTTTTAATGTTACTAAAAATTCTAAATAATATTCATGGCTCACAGTGATATGTCCATTGGTCAGTGCTGCTCTAGAAGATCCTAGAATTGGGTAATTTCTGGTTTATCAAGTAAAATACTATTTTTCTTAATGGTTTATAAAAATTATGAAAGTCAGTTTTTTATTCTTTTAAGGTTTTTGTTCACAATCTGCCAATTAACAAGGTTGAGAAATTTAAAAAAATATTCAAAGTTGGAAAGAGAAAGAAAAGATGCATAGCAGATGTGTTACCTGAGCCTTATGTGATAGAGCTTGAGGCTCAATTTCGATGTCTCTCCTATGGTCCTTACCTCAGCTTCCTCCTGACGTGCGTGAAGAGAGGTTCTCACTGTCCTCCACATCACAGCCATTCCCTAGCATGTAGACCCAGACGCTGTCTTCAGCTAAGCATCTCCTTCCTTGATGATTGTTGACTGTGAAGTCTGATGCGGGCACCACATTCCCAGGGTCACATTTTGCCTTGCTCCAAGAGATCAGTTTGGGGACCGTCATCTAGCAGAAAGTGACTTTTCATTACCCGTAGTGAATCAGCACTCTTTTCTTAACATGCTACCAGAACTGTGGTGATAGATTCCCGAGGGCATGATTGCTGGCTGGATGCTTAGTTGTCATCAGCATATATATGAAACATGAGAAGATAATACAGTGAATATTATCAGTATATTAGTTTCACATGCATGCCCTGAGTGGTACTTACGTGCATTCCGAGAGGCAGGGGGTAGAGCATTTGATTCAGAATTATGCTCAGAACTCATGTCTGGGTTGAGTACTGAACATGTCTCCTACAAAGAGGTGGTGGTAGGGTTACCTAGCCCCTCTGAGTCTGTATACCTCATGCCAGTAAACACCAGCCACTTTCCTTGTTAAAATTCTTTCATTTTAAGTGCTTGATCTGTGGTTCCGGAGCTGCTTTGTGTGATAACCACGGGGAACACATTGCCATCCTTATACTTTTCCAGACTGAGCAAACGAGTGACAAGCCTGCTTTCCAGTGTAGAAGCTCTGTCTGGGAATGAAGCAGGATTGATATTTCTGTATTAAATAGAAACCATTATGAAATTTCAGAAAGAATCTTTAGCTAAAGAAAAGTTGCTTTTTCTTTCATAGTTTAATTGTTATGTTATTGATGCCCTTAAATTCCAGTGTTACAGTACAAAATTCATTGACACCTTTAATTTGGAAGCAGTTAATAGGAATGGAAAACATTTAATAAGAGAGGGTATA